TGTTCAAATAATAATTTACCACTTAAAGGTTCATCGGAAAAAATGTATAATCAAAATTGTGGAATATTTTTAAATTTAATTGAATTGGTTAGCCATTATGATACCATATTGCTTGATCACATAAAAAGTATTAATAGTTGTTCCAGTAAAAATAAACTTAGTTATTTTTCTCCAACAATACAAAACGAATTAATTATACTTTTAGGGAAAAAAGTAAAAAACGAAGCATTAGATAGGATTAAAAGAGCAAAATACTTTTCTATACTTTTTGATTGTACGCCCGACGTATCTCATAAAGAACAGTTAACAGAAATAATTCGATACGTACGTATTATTGATAAAGAAGTTACAATTGAGGAGACGTTTATTGACTTTATATAGTCTATTCAGAATAACCTTGCCCACTTTTGCGCACGCAACTGTGCCGTCGGCAATCGTCAGACCCCCCGGCAAGAGTCAGGCGCACTATGATTGGTCATTAGTTGTCGACTGCTATCGTTACGCGTCGTTATCGATAGCTGCCGCCGTGCATACAGGGAATCATAATAACACGATTGAAATAATTATTACCAATAGTGCTTTTATAATAGATTTATAAACAATTTATTCTTTATCGTTTTTTACTGTTTTTTTTACTTTTACCTCATTGTTCTGCACCAAACACAATACCTACGTTGTATACACTTATTATTAAAACCAAAAAGGAATCATTATATGTAATTTAGTAAGAAATTAAAACTAAAAAATAAATACAATTTCATATTTACGAAAATTCCTCATATTTCTAAAAAAAAAATCATTATATTTCAACAGTTATTTTCAGTAATTTAAGTCATATTTACAAAAATTACACACACATAAACAGTTATTTACAAAAATTAGTCATATTTACACAAATTTAAACAGTTATTTACAAAAAATTGGTCATATTTACAAAAATTTATTCACTATCTGAATCCGTTTCAGATGAAGTGTCTCCCGTGATAGTCATCGTCAAATCATCTGATATCTCCGCGGACAAGACCTCGTCAATAATATTGTCAACTTCATAAAATTTTGTTTCTTCCTTTTTGGTGTGGCTTATAAAATTTTTCCACATTTCTGCGTCGACTTGTTTTATACCCTCTATCAATAAATTTTTTACTTCTGGAAGCTTATAAGTAGTGTTATTCATCCGAACGTGGTTTTTCACTGATGACCAAGCCAGTTCGATGGGGTTTAGCTCACAGTGGTATGGCGGGAGTCGTAAAACTGTATGATTTTTCGCTTTCAGAAGTTCGTCAATAACATACTTATTGTGTATTGGCTTCAGACGTTTGACAATATGTAGAAGTTGAGGGATGACCATTGAGTGATTAATTACTTCTCCTTTATCTTCCAACCACTTGATAATATCCGCCTTTCGGGTATTGGATGTTGGGGCTCGGTCAATTTTGACGGAATGGTAGGATGCATTGTCCATTACAATTACGGAGTTCGATCGTAGTAGCGGTAAAATGCCCTCCATCCACTCACGAAATGTGTCCCCATTCATTTCATCGTGGTAATCATTTGTGTTTTTTTTCGACTCGAAATACAATAAACCACCGGGTAGAAAGCCATCTTCTGAGCCTATATGGAGTACAATGAGCCGTTTGCCCTTACCCGAGGGATTAACAGCACCTGTCGATGGCCAAATGTAAACTCCTACACGAATAACCTTTTTACCTAAATCATCATTAAATGTAAACTCCTACACTAATAACCTTTTAAAATTTTTACCTGTAAATCAAAGATATTGTAATCTCTTACATAAAAATTTTTGCCCTTTAAAAAATAGGGTAATATTACTTAAATTCACGATTTTTAAGTTGAAATGCTCAAAAAGCTCAAAATTATCATAACTTGAAAATAATAAATATATATTTAACAAACAAACGCTTGAATAGAGTGTGTTTATACTATACTATACGTTCATATCGGCACTTGCAGTACAAGATGTTTTAAATAGATCAGCGATATGGTATCGAATATTGTCGAACAACGATAAAACATGATAATCTCGTCTGTATCGGAAATTTCCGAACAAATTGGCGTTTATTGTCGATATCATAGTCCGCTCGTAACTGAATAACTGCATATTGTTTGAGTTTAGTCTAGTGAATCTTTTGCGTCTTTCACCATTTTGTGCAGTAAAGTTAGTCACTCTTATATTATTGCAATGGAATTCATGTACAGTCAGAATGGTAAAAAGTTATTAATAGTTGATAAATATAAATTTTTTTTACACTATACTGCAAAAAGTGGCCAAAAAACTTGGCGATGTATTAATAATAAGTGTCAAAGTAAAATTTACACAAATCATACAGAAGATGAAATTATTGAAAAAAATGTAGTTCAAATTCACAATCATGACGAAGATACTACATTAAATCGCCAAGAAGTCAATAATTCACTGAAAAGGAAAGTAAGTGAAGACAATATTGTAGAAAAACCTTTCAAGTTTATTTTAACTGAAATCAAACATTTTAATAACGAAAATAATTTAAATACAATTGATCTAAATTATATTAGACGAAATGTGTATAATGCACGTAAATCTATTTTGCCACCTTTGCCTAAAAGTATTGAAGAAGTTCACGATACTTTAAATTTAATGGATATAAAAACAAACCGTTCTGAACAATTTGTTTTATTAAATGATCAAGATAGCCATATTATTATATTCTCTTGTATAGAAAATTTAAAATTTCTTTGTTCCAACGAAAAAATATTTTTAGACGGTACTTTCAATTATTGTACAAAATATTTTTTGCAGTTATTCACTATTCATGGTTTTAAGAATCAAAATTATATACCATTAGTCTTTGCTTTGCTTCCTGACAAAAATAGCCATACATACAGCACATTATTTTTAAAAACTATTGAAATTTGCTTACAAAATAATTTACAGTTTCAACCACTTACAGTTGTGGTGGACTTTGAAATTGCTATTCATAATGCAATTAAAAATATTTGGCCAACAGTGGAAATTCATGGTTGTAATTTTCATTTGTGCCAAAATTGGTACAGAAAAATCCAGCAATTAGGCTTAACGAATGATTACAAGAATGGTAAATCTGAAATTGGAAAATTTTTAGCTCTCACATTCGGTTTACCATTATTGCAAGATGCTAACGATATTGAAGATTGTTTTGTATTTGATTTGTTAGAAAATATGCCATCTGACGATAAAGTCCAACAATATTGCGACTATTTATCTGAAAATTATATTTTTTCGTTTTCATTATTTCCTCCAAAGTTGTGGTCTTCTAATGATACTACTAATGCATGTGAGTCGTTTCATTCAAGATTTAATAGTAGTTTTTATCATCATCATCCAAATCTCCATTTATTCGTGAAAATTTTAAAAGATGTACAGACCGAAACATACATTAAAATTAGAAGCAGTCATACAACACAACGCAGACAGACAAAAACAATTTCTAAATATCAATTTATACTCAATAAAAAAAACAAATATATTCGAGGAGAAATTTCACGTTTAGAGTTTATCTCCAAAGTATGCCATACAAATATCCGTAAATAATTATGAGTTATGACTAAGTATTGTTTTATTGAATCTTTTATTATTTTTTCAAAATTTTTTTATTTTATGTGTTACTATATATTGTAAGATTGATATTTTTTTACAGCAATACAAGCAGTATTAATTTTTTGTAGGAGTAAACACTATTTTTTGTAGGAGTGAACACTACTCTTTGTAGGAGTTAACACTATCTTTTGTAGGAGATTACATTACATTTGTAGGAGTTTACCATTCCCCCTGTCGATTGACCTTTTAGGAATGCGTCCCGGTGAGATCGTACTGTTGTGTCAACCCACGTTTTCGATGTACAATCGCCAGCATTTACCCACGTTTCGTCGAGGAAATAAATATGTCGACCTTCTTCCCGATATTTTTTAATGTTCTCTAAATACATTCTACGCCACACAACAATCTCATTTTTTTTACTCATAGCACTGTTCCTACTGCGTTTACTGTACCGGAAATCTAAATCTTTCAAAAGATGAAATAAATTGGTACGCGATATTGAAGGCAAACTGTCGTCGGCGGATACGGCTTGGTGGATTTTATCGACTGTCGGAATTTCACGACGAAACCAAATGGTACTGCGTTTTTTGAAAATTCGTCAAAAAGATCGCGAAAAGAATTTTTCTTACGTGTTGTTTTTGCAACTGGCACCGTCTTTGTCTCATTGTAAGCCTTAATGATTGTGTGAATTGAACGTTCACCAATAGACAATAATTCTGATATTTGTTTACGAATTTGCCTCATGGAAATGTTAGGTTCGTCCATTATTATACTCTTGTACATATTCACAATACGGATTCTTAAATCTTCACTTATAGCCTGAAAAAAATATTTAAAAAAATAAGTCTTAATAAAAATGATGTCTTGAAAGACCTTTCAATTAAAAAACATGTTTTAATCGATTAAAAACATTTTTTTATTTTGAAAAAACATGTTTTTTATAAACTCGGAATTTTTATATCATATAATACTCACTTTTCCACTTTTTTGCTTTTTAATTGGTGATGGGCCATATTCAGCATTATTCTCATCAGAACTGCTTGCCATTTTGGGTGGATAATTCACAAAACGGTATTACAAAAAACAGAACAAATATCAAAAAGCGCGCGGTGTTTTTATGTGTTACGGAATGAACGCGTAAACCACTTGTGGCATATAGTGACGTGCGATATTGTAGTTCACTACGTATACAGCTGCAGCACGTCGGCGGCGGTGGCACAGCCGACATCAGCGCTGTCTGTGGCAACAGACATGCGCGAGCTCGACGAGTTTTCGTCGATCGAGTGGGCAAGGTTATTCTGAATAGACTATAGCTACACAGGAAAAAAAGGGTGTTGGGTTAGCTGGTGAAATAACAAAAAAACTGTTTGATGATGGATTAAATATTAATGATTGTAGAGGCGAATGCTTCGATAATGGTTCTAATATGGCTGGCATTTATAATGGTGTGCAAGCTCATATTTTACAAAAAAATAGATTGGCCGTGTTTGTTCCGTGTGCTGCACACAGTCTGAATTTGGTTGGCGTACACGCAGCAGATACATCTCCAACTATCACTACATTTTTTGGAATAGTCCAAAAAGTATATACTTATTTTTCTGGATCTACATCAAGATGGGAAAAGTTAAAGAGTGTAATAAATGTTACCTTAAAATCACATTGTGATACACGCTGGTCTACAAAAAAACAAGCAGTTTCAGCTCTTAAAAATAATTTAGAAAGCATTTTTAAATTATTAAAAACTCTAAGCACTGATATTACTCTTAACCACGATACGAGAGATGGTGCTAAAAATTTAATTTGTCAAATTAATTTAAAATTTATATGCTTGATAAACTTGTGGAATGACGTTTTGAGTCAAATTGATCATGTCAATATTTTATTACAATCAAAGAATCAAACAATAGATGTTGCATGCAGCCTTATAAATGGACTAATTCTATCAATTGAAGAAATCAGAAAAATTGGATTTAATAATTCATTAGATGAGGCGAAACGTACGGCAAAATGTCTAAATATTTCATCAGAATTTAAAGATAAGCGTAAACGTAAGATTCCAAGGAAGGATTCGTGTGAAGCCGACGATGAAGGAACAGTATCAGATGAAAATAACTTAAGAATCCAGTGTTTTCAATCGTTAGACTCAATTTTAACAAGTTTAAGGTGGAGATTTGAAAAAATGTCAGAAATTAAATCAGAATTCCAATTTTTAACTGGAAATTGTTTAAAGATTATGCCATCCGATGAAATTAAACGTTGGGTTAATGATTTGGCGCTTAAGTATGAACATGATATAGATGGTCCTGAATTATTTTTAGAAATTGAAAAATTTTAATTTCAAGCATCTAAATTAATGTGTTCATTTCAGTCTGCCACACAACTAGATTTACTAAAATGTATACATCACTATACACTCCAAGATTTCTATCCTAATCTTGAAGTGGCATTAAGAATATTTTTAACTATTCCAGTCACCACAGCTACGTGTGAAAGAAGCTTCAGTAAGCTGAAGATCATAAAAAACTATTTAAGATCTACTATGAATCAAAATCGTCTAACAAGTATGGCAATTTTGTCTATTGAAAAAAGTTTGGTAGACCAAATATCATTTGATGATGTTATAGATGACTTTGCAGCAATAAAGGCAAGAAAAGTTAAATTTTAAAAAGTTATTGTTAAATCAATGTAATAAGGTAAACATTTTTATATTTGATAAAATAATAGGATTTTTGTTTAAGTTTGTTATTATTATTTAATTATAATATAAAATAGAGCAATTTTTATAATAATAAAATAAATATAATGCACTTGTGCTACAATCAACAGAGCGTTTTTTTTTTTTTTTTAATAATGAGCATGGTAGTTGAAAAAAATTGTATGTGGGGAGGGGCGCAAATTTGGTTTTCTGCCAGGGGCGCTACTGGTTCTTGCTACGGCCCTGGTCGTCGGTAAGTATTATTTTATAACGAGGATCCAGAAAGATTGCTGATAATAAAACTTTATTTTTCATAACGTATTTCTCTCTGTTTTTCAAACACTCTATAACTCTATTCAGAATGAGAGTGCCCAGTGGCTCGAACGAAAACTAGTTCTGTTCGTGCATGTATTTTTCTACAGGGAGCGCTGTTGTGTACCGACGCGCGTTATATCGCTGCCTTAACGCTAACAACACGTATCTGTTATTATGTTACTTTTCAGGAGAGCCAAAAAACTGTATAATTGTTTCAAAAAACTGAAATGAAATATTTTTTTTGTTTATAAAAATAACTAGCACCAGGCTTGTTAATTTAATTAACATTTTTTATCAAACAAAATGTTTTTAAGCTCAAAATAGTAGATACGTAGTCATAGGCGTAGCCAGACTTCTTGTTTAGGGTATGCAAAATTTGAAGATTATTTTTTTTAGAAAGGAATACAAGTTTAAATTTAGTTAATTATTAAACTGATTTAAATATATTGTTACAACTTAGATTAATATGTACCTATACAAAATTAAAATTATTTAATTACAATAATTAACATGACATGTTTATACCTACAATTGAATATTAATTATTATAAAGTCAATCTTCTTTTATAATCAACTTTATTTTTGAAGTCATCTATAACGGCGTCGACATCAATATTTACTGCAATTTCTTGTTCAATTGCTATAAGCATTAGACTATTCAATCGTTCTTGGACCATTGATGTTCTTAATTTTGATTTAACTTGAGTTAATTTGGAAAATGATCTCTCACATTTACAGCTGGTAACTGGAATAACTGAGAATTTTTTCAAAACAATGCTAAAATTATTAAATAAAACATTTCTGTTAAACATGTTTAACCACTGTAACCATAAATGTAGGATTGATGTGCTTGATTTGGTTAACTTTTTAGGTGTCGTATCATCTTTTTTTAAAATTCGAATTTCGCTAACAAGTTCATCGTAATTACACTTAAAATGATTAGATAAAATATTCAAATCTGTGTTAGTAATATCCAAGTTTAATAATTTATCTATTGAACTTATTATATTTATAGTATCTTGATTAAATCTTTCATCTAAACCATTCATAATTATATCAAGCATAGGATAAAATGACCCGAGTCTTAATTCTTGTTCATTTGTATCTGGAAAGAACTGATTACTACCACCACTATCAATTCGTTGTGCAATTTTACGTTTTTTAGGTTTTGGTATAGTCACATCTAAATTTGTACACATAGAAATAGTTAAGTCATAAATACATTTAAAGTTACATTCAGAACGCATATCATTAATAGCAGATCTAAGAGATTTAATGTAGTTCATAGCAGATAATAAATCACAATTTTCACTTTGTAAATATTTACTTACTTTATTAATCATTGTAAGTATAGGATCCATCATATAAAGTCCAAGAATAAAATTAAAATTTTTAAGTTGATATAATAATCCACGTCCTTTAGCATTAACATCTGTTTGTTTTGTTGAATAAGTAATATTTTCTAAGGCTTTAATCAGTGCTAAATAATTATGTTTTATGGCACTGACGGCTTCTGCCCTACATGCCCATCTTGTTGTTGACAGTGACTTCATAGTTCTCAATGTAACATTTATTTGTTTAGAAATGTTCTCAAGAATAGCGTGACGGACAGCACTACCTTCTATAAAAGTATATGTTAGTTGCACTACTCCAAAAAATTCAAAAACTATGCGATTTTCTTTAGAAGACGTACAAGCATCAACTAGTACTAAGTTTAGGCAGTGCGCGTAACAATGTACATACATAATACTAGAATTCATTTCTTTAAATTTTTTTTGAACACCACCTATTGAACCTGACATGGTTGCCGCTCCATCAAAACAAACTGATGTAATATCATTCCACTCAATAGTTAAACTTGATAACATTTTGGATAGTTCATCAAATATTGATTGAGAATCAACTTTTTCAACTCTATGAAGACCAATAAAGCGTTCAACAGGCATGTAAGTTTCTTCATCAAAATATCTGATAACAAGAGAAAGTTGCTCATTGTGTCCTAAATCAGTTGTCTCGTCAGCTATAATAGACACAGGTTTACACTTTATTGATGAAATAATAGAACGAAGCATAACATTTTGAATACTTTTCATAATATCATTTTGAATATCTGGACTTATATAGGTTGAATTTTTTGGAGCATTTTCTAAATGATCCTTCATTACTGGATCATACCTAGAAATGAGTTCAACAATTTCTAGAAACAAACCTTTTTCTAAACTTTTTGAATTTTCATTATGACCACGTAATGCACGACCACCTTTCGCTATAGTTATTATTATATCAATTAGTTTTTTCATAATTATACGGTTATTAATTCTTTTCTCTTCTTGTTTACTTAAACATTCTATTCTTTTCTTTTCTAGTTGTACATCAATAGGAATGTCTTTAAAATATGCTGATAATGTTTGAACACTACTTATATGAATAGCTGACATTTGATGTAATTTGAATTTTTTTGTAGCCATGTTCCATCCTCTGAATCCAGTACTAATAAAAGCAGGATCGAAGTGACCTCTATGTGATGTTATGTCCATGCTAAAACAGCGACAAGCAAAACAAAAAGCAGCATCCAAAGCTGAACTATATTCTAGCCAATTAAAATCTTTATACCAAAGAGCATGAAAACTTCTATTTGAAACCCCAATCTGTCTCCTAGGAAATGTAATAACTGGTTGAAAAGGACCTTTTTTTATTCTGTCATATCTTTCATATCTATTTGGTGGCATTCTATTAATTGGATCTAAAGGATCACCAACAATATCAACCATTTCTGGAATATGATTAACAATAGTCTTGTTATTGTGATCAACTTCCAATATATTTTCCTAAAAAATTAAATTAGTTAATTAAAATTAAATTGGTTTGTTAATTAAGAATACATAATATTTCTTTATTATTAATGTTTTGATCATAAGTGGCATCTGTCTCGTCAATATTTAATTCAACCAATGTACATTTCTACAATATTATAAAAATGTAATTATTTTTCAGAGATAATAAACTAAGTAATAAACTTATAATTATATTATATAATATAATATTAAAATATAATAATACCTATATAATAATATTTTAATAAGTAATAAACTTATAATTAAATAGCGGATTTTTAGGTTCTTAAAAGCTTAAAATATGATGCTAATATGTTCAAAAATTCTATATATACTATATATATATGCATAACTTGTTCTTCTTGGTAACAGCTAAGTTATTAACTAAAACATAATCGTCTATACTTATAAAAGTCTAATAATATATGCAATTATATATAATATAATATGTACCTGTACTATTTAAACTATAAACTTAGTAGTAATATATATGTCACAAAATATGATTTTATAAGTAGGTACTATATTTTAAAAATAATTGTATTTTTGGTTTGTTTTTGTCCATATTTTGTAGAGTATAGAATATAATATGATATTTGAACTACTACTAAATAATTAAATGACTAAAATACTAAATAAAATGTAATATTTAAGAATATGATAAACAAGTGAACATGATGGAATTGTCTATATACAGTATGTTAATTGAACACTGAACTATTAATGATTAGCAATATGCAATCTGATCCAAAGTAAC